GGGACGCTGCTGCACACCTTCCTCAGCCCCCAGCGCCTCGCCTCCGTCTGCTCCATCGCCGCCCTGCACCCCAGCCAGCGCATCCTGGTGGGCGGCAACTCCAGCGGCCGCCTGCACGTCTTCAAGGAGTGAAGCAGCTTGACCTTGGGCTTCCCCCCCCCCCCCCCACTTTTATTTTCCGCATTAAATTCGTTTAATCCCCGCCGAGCTGTCGCTGAGCTAACTGTGTTTTTCTCAGGACAAGAAGTGTTATTTTTTTTAATAGCTTTAAAAATAAATCCTCTGAGCTACCTTTGGCACGCTCTTAATTTGAAAGCAGTAATAATGTAAATCCTGCTGTGACAGTTTGTACCAAAATAGAGGGGTTTGCGCCTCAGAACCAAAGTTGCTTTGCAAAAGAAGAAGAGAGCAGAAGTGGGACAAGTGCCCCAAACACAGAGCAAGTACTTTGTGACTTTTTTAGGGATGTGGAGCACTCCTCCAGCAGCTCCTGTGGTGTTCCCGTGTGTTTCAAACTGCCTTTTTGCCATTAAAATTGTCATTAATTGAGGTATCGAGTGGCCCATGCAGCCCTTCCTGGAGGCGTCGCTGTGCTGGGCGGGTTTCTCCTCAGACGGGTGAGCTGAAAAGCCAAATTCCTCAGTTTCGAGCTGAAAAATCGGTACCGACACCATCAGAGCTTGAACAAACCTCATGGCGACTGCGGTTTTCATGATATTTAAATATTTATTTAAATTTAAAAATACTTTTCATGGCACCAATGATTTTATGCTGACTAAGATATTGGATATGTAGAAAAAGGTACATTTTTTTGAAGGAAAAAAAAAAGTAACTTACAGTATTTGGCACATGAAAGGTTAATTTCTAGATTCTTCTTATGAAAACTAAGAAATTCACATTTTCAGGTATCCCACCACCTACTGCCTCAAGGTGCAGTACGCTATCAGGAGATTTTTGTTTTCGATATAAGAACCTATGGAAACAACATCCGAATATAAAGACGGGTCGAACTAACGGGAGGTGGGACGCGGGACGGGCTACGGACGAACGGGAGAAGACGGGCACCGCAAAGGGCCAGTTCTGGGGGGTCTGCAGGAGAACGGGGGTGACCGCAGGGGTCACCCAGGGCTGGCATTGCCCATGGCGGGGGGTCCCGGGTGGCTGCGCCGCGGCTGGGGACGATGGCACACGGAGGGGCTGTGCTGTCACATCACGCCAGGAGGAGGAGGAGGAGGAGGAAGGAACCTGATCAAACCCGGGGCGAGAACACGTCAGGGTTGGGGGCTATCACGCACTGCATAGAAACACCATTGACTACGGGCTGAGGTAGGAACACTACACTAAGTTAATTCTGCTATGTTGCATAAATCGTGGTATCATGTTAAAAAAAAAAAAGAATAAAACCAAAAGAACCCATCCTCCGCGTCCCGGCTCCGCTCCTCCCTTTGGCTCTTCATCCCCAGGGCTCGCAGGGGCCTCGGTGCAGCCCTGCTCGCGGGGTCGGGGCCACCGTCCTCATCCTCACGCGCCTCGACGGGCGCTGGGACTCTCGGGAACGCGGGAACCGGGCGGATTAAAACTGCGCTTATGGCCCCAGCTTGCGTCAAATCTCTCCCTGAGATGAAAGAAAACCTGCTCACCTGCTTCTTTACAACTCGTTATGTCCCACTGCTCACCCGAAAACGTAGCAGAACTGGCTTTTATTGCTCCCTGTGTCCAGAAACGGCTGGGCCCCCCGGGGGCCCAAGGCCCCGGGGGTGGGTTCC